GGGCTCCGTCACCCTCAGAGGGAAGAAGTTCTTCCTCATGTTCAGACGGAACTTCCTGTGCTTCAGTTTGTGCCCGTTGCATGGAGGTGGAAGTAGAGCAGAGGAGCTCTGTGCTTTGTTTAAAACCCCACAGGTGTTCTTTGTGTACCGTGGTTGAAGTCGAAGCTGTGGCTTCCCAGGAATCAAGCTGTCTGGGACTTGACCTTTTTGTGTGGTTGTTCACCCAATTTTCTTCTGATTTCCACGCCGTCGCCTCGCTGTTTCCCTGCCGCAGCGGGAAGCGCGTGCTGCAGCGTCTCCGCCTTTGCCTGGGAGCAGGCTGATGCCTGACTTCACGAGCGCATCGGCCACAAGCCATAACGAGGACATTAATACTCTTTCAGCAATAAAAGCTATTACTCGGATCTCCCCCAGAGATTTGTCCAGCCCTTTTGCATGCACGCGCCTTCCTTTTCATCTCACTTTTAACAGTTTTCTCGCTAAGGCGTTGTTCTGGTGAATCATACCTAGCAAAGCGTATTTTCCTCCGCCCTGTTCTCTCACTCACGTTCACGCTTTTTTCCTCCTTGTTGCTCTTATTAAAATGTCTCTCCTTCACTCTTGTTTTCCTGTAAATATTTGAATAATTAACAACAGTAGGCGCAGGAAGATTTCTGTCGATGCGAACTGTATTGGTGGGTGTTTGACATGGCCGGGGGGCAGTGGGGAGCGGCGTTATTCAGCAGTGGCTCTCCAGCACGTCCTTGGCTCCCTGTTTGCAAGGAGCGCTTGCAGACAGCCTGTCCGGTGCTCCCGATCTTTAAATGCCTGTTTTCCAAATGTGTTCCACAGGTGCCAACAAAAAAGCTGAAGAAATATGAGAGAGAGTACCAAACCATGCGCGAGAGCCAGCTGCAGCAGGAAGACACGATGGACAGATACAAGGTACGGGCGATGCTGCGCGGGCGATGCTGTGCGGGCAGCGGTTCTGCCGGCGGAGTGCCTCGGGGGCAGGGGTGCGCGTGGCACGCTCCCCTCGCTGGGCTGTGCCGCTGCCGAGCGGCAGGGGGAACTCATCCCCTTTCTTGAACGAGCACTTGGAACGCTCAGTGTTTTTTCCAGGAGTGTGTCAGTCACGCTTTGTAACTCTGAAGACATCTGCAAGTAGCCACATATAACATTTGTCTTCTTTCAGTTTATATGTTTGTAGGTAACTCTCCTGCTGTTGCACTTTTACGGGAGACCTTCATGAGACGCAGAAACAAAGGGTGATTCTCAGCTGCAGACACACAGAGGAGAAAACACACATTGCTCTAGCACAAGCTGTGTGCAGTGGCATCCACAGAGACTTTTGGAAGATGAGCTCTTCCTTGACCGATACGACCCTTGTACTCATCTCTGTTCATACCAAGCGCTAGTTAACTTTTTGTGAATACAATGCCTAGTACCGTGGGACCCAGGGGTCTCCTGGGCTCCCAAGGTACTACTGCAGTAGAATTAATAGTAAAAAATACCCTGCTTTAAAGCGGCGGAGAAACAAAGGTTCAGTTGTTAATATGATAGCTTGATAGTTCATGAAAAAAAGAATAGTTCTTTAATTTTGGAAGCATTGCTTGTCTTTCCAATGTATTTGCTTTTGTTGTCACTGCTACATTCCGTTGCCGTAGACTGTTGTGTGACGGAGGCTCTGCCTCTAGGCATATACTTCACTTAGTGTTCAGGATCCATTTATTGCTTACCCTGTTTTGAAAAATCCGGTTTTCTTTAGGTGAAGCTGCCAGAGAGGAAGCACTTTACTGCCCAGTGCCCAGGTTCGCTGGGAACTGGCATTGCTTACCTATACCTGTACTGTTTTCCTGCTGTTCTTCATCGTGCCTTAGGATGTTAAGTGACATTGCAGTTGGTACGGAGTCTACCAGGAGTGCGGAGTAGTAAATCATCACACAGTGTGCAACAGGTTTCCGTGGTCTGTGAACACAAGGCAAATGCACCGTGTTCAGAAAGCCACAGTATGAAAATCTGTAGTGAAGGACTGTGCCATAATTCACAAATGTGACCAGAGTTACAGGTACAGGCAAAGTAAAACTGACTTTTTTTTAAAAAAGTATTTACCTGTGAAAAAATATGTTTTGAATGTAGTTCTTTTGATGTCAAAGGGTGTAGATTTTATTGTTTGTGAGAACTGGGACTGCTGTAGCAGTGGAGAGCCAGTAGCGAATATGACCTGTTTAGAAAAAAAACCCCAATTTGCTGCTGATTAACTGCTGACAAAGTATTTTTCCAGTGGTTCACTTACAGTGCTGTGGAATTAAGATACTACTTAGAAAACAAACAACGCTTCTTTAAAGCTCTGTGGAGGCATACTGACTAGTTAGTGTTGGGTGACGGACGGTGAAGAACATTATCCCCAAGCTGCAAATGAGGATACAGAAAGTGACTCTTTGGCCGCTGTTTATGTGAGTCACGACCACAGCCTGGGGTTTTGGCTTGCACTTTTGCAACTCACCGTGTGATCTTTGTTTTTTTCATTAGGCTGGTTTGGGTCTGATCCTCTTAGTGGTGCTGTGATTAGGGAGAGTCCCCATAACTGGTTAGTTGCACATTCAATTCAAAGTTCGGACGCATTCCTCAGCTGATGGGTGTGATGGAGAAATGCTTGTAGGTGCTCTCTGTTCCTTGTCATGCTTGTTTGATTTGATTAGTGTGTCAGGCTGAGGTTGGCAGGAATCGACATTTCAAGAGCGTTTTCAGAGGGCAGCAAGAAATGCAAGCTGTGTGGATCCTCACAGGCAGAAAGTGGAGAGCCAACTTTGCTTGTTCCTTAAACGATCACTCTGCAGCCCGTGTATTCAGAAATCCGTTTCGTTTTGGCAGCATCAGTGCTAGACTTTGCCTTCCTGGGCTTGGTTTGGGCAGGGACTGAGTCTGCGCTGCTGAAAAGCCAGTATTGCCTCTGAGTGCAGATTTGCTGTTAGCTCCTTCTGGCCTCCTGCACGCTGGGTGCCTACATCGCTGTCAATTTTACAGTTTCTCTTCCCAGAACAAAATGGGTTTTTGGCTTCCTGCTCAGGAAGGGGATGTTTCTTGGACAGGATCACTGCCGTGGAGATCCCTGCAGAACATTCCTCTTACAGGTCAAGAAGGAAATAGGCTTTCAATCTATTACAGTTTTTATAGTTCTTAGAGTTTTTGTTGCTTGCAGCATGTTACAGTTTTTATTGCCAGTAGAGATTTCAGGACCACAGAGATGCTGGCAGTTCTAATTTGCAGTGGTGAAGGACTTCTTGAGTAAGACACCTGCCTGTGACCTGGCCCTCAGTGGAAGTGGTGGGATGGACTGTGGAGAGAGTAGGGATGGACCACGAGCTGCACTGGCCGGGGGGGGGCCGCCGGTCCATCCCTGCTGCACTGCACTCAGCTCCTGCTCCATCCCCGCTGCGCTGCGCTCTGCTCCTGCTCCATCCGTGCTGCGCTCTGCTCCTGCTCCATCTCTGCTGTGCTTTGCTCCTGCTCCTGCTCCATCCCTGCTGCACTGCGCTCTGCTCCTGCTCCTGCTCCATCCCCGCTGCACTGCACTCTGCTCCTGCTCCATCCCCGCTGCGCTGCACTCTGCTCCTCCTGCTCCATCCCTGCTGCGCTGCGCTCTGCTCCTGCTCCATCCCTGCTGCGCTGCGCTCTGCTCCTGCTCCATCCCTGCTGCACTGCGCTCTGCTCCTGCTCCATCCGTGCTGCGCTCTGCTCCTGCTCCATCCCTGCTGTGCTTTGCTCCTGCTCCTGCTCCATCCCTGCTGCGCTGCGCTCTGCTCCTGCTCCATCCGTGCTGCTCTCTGCTCCTGCTCCATCCCTGCTGCGCTCTGCTCCTGCTCCATCCCCGCTGCTCTGCTCCTGCTCCATCCCCACTGTGCTCTGCTCCTGCTCCATCCCCGCTGCACTGAGAGCAGAGCAGAGAGAACTCGTGGGAGCTGGTGCAGCTCTCGTGTACAGGCCTGACTTTCACCCAGCATCCAAGGGAGAGCAGGACCGAACCAGAGCAGGATGAGAGCACAGCATGCTCGTTCATCTCCTTTCCGGCTTTCGGGTCCCAGAGGTGTTCCCGAGCATGGGGACAGTGGGGCTGAGCAGCCTCCTGAGAAACGCCAGGCAGGGGATGCTTCCTGCTGCGGGCAGCTGGGTATGGCTGGGCAGGGTGCTTTCCAGTCCCCTGACGCCAGATGGGGTGCTCTTCGGTCCCCCTGATGCCAGGCTCTCCCCGAAAAGGGCTGTTCTTGCAGCATCTGGCCTGCCATGAACGAGCCGCGTTTTCTTGACAGGTGAAAGTCGTGTGCTACCCTAAGCTGCGTTATGTGGCCCAGGAGTGCCTGCCCAGCACGTATTTGACATGTTGGGTGTGATCTGGCTTACCAAAAGAGCAGTGTTAAAGAGTGTCATTGTTTTTGGAGTTTGTTTCCTTCCATATTTACAAGTGTTGTTTAGGAAAAATGTATTTTTCTATGGACACCTTTTCACTTTATTTCCCATTGCTTATAACAAATCACCACTCTCGTTTTTGTCAGATTTTTAAAAGCTGCAAAATTACATATGTTTTAAATTGCTGTTCGTCACCAGATTTCATTACTTTCGGTTAAAATAAATTGCAAATTGCCTATAGAAGCCAGGAAGAAAAGTGAGTTGCATGTGCAGAAAAAGTAGCAATATAGTTCAGACTGATATTTTTTGATATATTGTGGGGTTTTTTTCTGTGTTTGAGGACGCCTCGTGTAACAGGGTCTGGGTTGACTTGATGAGAAATTGCCGGAGTTGGGCTTGAGACTTCTCGGCTGAGAATAAAGAGGAGGTAACCCTGCAGAGAAGGGCTGGAGTTTTGCAAGCAAACCCTGCTTCTGCACGCAGTTCTGTTGTGAGGGTAGACACGTCTCCTCCTCTGTGGACCTTGTGGTGCAGTGGGGCAGCTGTCTGTCTGAATAAATGTGTAATTTAGACACAATAGCCTTTTGCGTGTTTGAAATGGGAGCAGAAATTAATACAGTGGTCATTTTTATTCAGAGTCACGGTAAATCACTGGTAACCGTCACGAGGAAAAACGTAAGATAGCTCTTGGTGTGGATCGCTGTTTGTTTGTGGTTTCTAAAACGTGTGCGGGGGCACTTTTGGGAGCGCTTCTTCAGAGTCCACAGAGAGAGAACACAATCCACCTCCAGGAGCCTCCGTGCTGCTTCCCGCGAGAGGTTTTCCTGGACAGTTTGCTATAAAAGCCTCTTGCGTTCCTAGCTGGAGTTCCCAGGGCTTTCCTTCAGAGCTCCTCAGCGGGCTGATGAAGACTGCAGTTTGCTCACATCCAGAAAAGCGAAGGCTAACCAGTGTTTTCGTTCCACCACCGAGGATCCGTTCGCGCCCAAGGATCCGGGGTTTGGGCGTTTGCTCGTCAGACAGTGTGACCCCGAATTGCTGAACAAGGTCTGTGACTGGCTGCACCCCGCGTGAGGAGGCATCACCGCCACGGAGCTGCTCAGGAGCTGCTCCGTGCTGCCGGCTGCGAGCGAGCGGAGGGGGGGGTTCGGCGCTGCTCGGGGCTGCCGGCTGCGAGCGAGCGGAGGGTGGAGTTCAGCCTTTCACTCCTCCTCAGCTGGGGCTCGCCGACCGCTCGCAGATCTGCCTCCTGTGTTCCATCCAGCGTGGGATGGCAGCTGGAGCAGAACCTCTTTAAAACTCAGAACCAAAAACCCGCTGAAGAATCCGCAACTTCTTTTTTTTTTTTTTGGCTGTCTTTGTTGGTATTAAAAATTATTTTATGTCCTGTTTTCACTGTCGTTACCCCAATGGTTGAAAGCAGTGTTTGGTCTGTGACTTTACGGGAGGTAAGTTGATTTGTGTTTGTATGTATCGGCGGTGTTTGTCCTGTTTGGAAATGCAGTATCCTCCTTTTAAAAGCTAACCAGAGTTCCCCAGCTGCCTTTTGTAACTGGGGGGAGGAATCTGGGAAAGATTCTTCCTTTCCTGAGCGCAGAAGCTGGGCAGTGCCGAAAAGAAGGCAGTGGTT